AGTAAACAAAATGAGGAGAAAAGGAAGGAGTTTGAGAAAGACGAGGAAATGAGAGCACAGAGAGAGAGAGGGAGAGAGATGATTTGATGATAAAAGGAGTAAGCAAAGGAGCAAATATGACCAAGAGGAGGGAGAAGTGGGGTGGGTGGAGGGGATTTGGACTGGGAAAGAGGCAACTGGAGAGAGCTGGAAAGACAGAAACAGACCACCTCAAAGTAATGAGAGAGGGACCGAGGAGATAGAAATATAGAAAAGTGGGGAAAGAAACCAAGAGAGACCACCCCACAGTGAACACCAGCGGGAACACCGTGCAGATTTTAAAATCTTATTTCTCTCCCAGCACAGCTCTCCTTAAACCAACACCCAAAGCAGGAGTCAATCTTACTGCCAAGCCATCCCTCACTCTGCCCTTCTACATGTGTGCACGCACATACTGACTCATGACGGGGCCCCCAGAACGCTAGTAAACCACGGCTGCGCTCTGCTTATTGCCTGCAACGAGGAAAAGCTCGAAAACTTTATATAAGACGGGATGATGCAACACTCTGTTGCGCATCAGAAAAGTCTTGGTTACTGTGAACAGAGTTGAAACTATCATCTCTGCTATTAACGCAGCCAGGAAACATGCATTTCCCCTGCAGAAAGCCACAATCCCATCTGTGTGAATGGCCCTATGTGGTGTCAGACAATTCCCTCTCTCTGTGGAAATAACACACAACGTGTTGTGCTTGAACTGGGCCTTTTCAGTACTGATAGTCCACAGATTTGTGCATGATAAGAAACCACTGTGGTTTTCTAACGTAAACACACGAAGCCCCTTTAACCTTCATCAACAGACACCCCCCGCCACCACCACCAAAGTTCCCCATTAAACATTTGGAAAGCTTAAATCCAATAAAGGATCTTTGTATAGGGTGCAGTAAATTAAGTTAGGACAAAGAGCCTATATGTTTGAATGAGTCGTGCTGCCCTTTGATAAAGAGCCTATGTTTATACTGGTAAAGCGGGGCCACTGTGATATTGTCTGGTATGTGGAGAGTTATAAGAGGCTTATGTTTAACTCAGTCTGAAAGATAAACAGCCTTAGGCAAGAGAGCTGAGAGGATGCGTATACCTTTTTTTTCCCTCTTGAGTTTTCTTCTTCTTTTGCTTTTTCTCACAGCTTTATCAGCGTGTTCATTTTTCACCTCCCACTGTAATCCAGGCTCCATCTTTCTTGCTGTTCTCATACTCTGTGCTGCATTTGACAAGTATTAGAGAACTGAGTGGGGCATTTTGTGGAGGTGAATTGGTGGCCCGTGGTCTAGCTTGGGGGTAACAGCATTCTAGGGACAGGGTCAGTTTGAGAGGTCACAGGTCAGCACTGATGGATGCAGTTGGCACCGACCTCAGGGAACGTGTGCGAATTAGAGCTCATTATATTAACGGTTTCTACCTGGACTTCCTGTCACTCTCTGTTCCTGTACCATAAAAACAACAAACCATTTTATAATATACCTCAACATCATCTCGTCCTCCTGCCAGATAGGATTTGGTTATTTTTCTCTTTTCTGACTTCAGAGACATTGTCACATCATGACAAGGAAACTTAAATTCTTTTGCAAAATAAATAAATAAACCATTTTGACTTAATGCATGCTTATTTGACTTAGATGAATACATTGTTTTACTAACAAACACATGGGAAGTTTAAAATATTAAGAAGGTTTTATTATTCTTTGGTAAATTTCAGACTGCGCTCCTCGACAAGATGCACAGTATTGTGCAAAACTCTTGATCCACCCTTTATTTCTTCATATTTTACCATGAAAATGGAAAATAGACGCAACAGTTTATTAAAATATGTGAAAACATAAATAGAAGCTACACAGTTTATAAGGCAAAAACAGTTTGAAAGGCAATAATTGGTATGACCACCTTTATTTTTCAACACAGTCTGACTTCTCTTAGGAAGCCTTTCCTGTCGTTTCTTGTCATAGTCTTCAGGGATACTTCTCTAGGCTCTCTCTTTTGATGTTTCTGCCTTTAGTTCTGTACTTTGTCAAGATGATCCCACACTGCTCTAAAAATGTAGAGGTCCAGGATCTGGGAATACCAATACATCTATATGCTTTATATGCTTTTATTGCATTAGCACCTGTGTTTGGGATCATTCCCAAACAGAAAAATTGCAGCCAATCAAACACTTTCCAAATGATTTTGCATGGTGGAAATCTGTCGATACTTTTCTGTGATCAGAATTCTATCAGTTTGGCAAAATCTCCAAAACCACTAGCTGAATTGCAGCCACAAACCATGCCACAGCCTCCGCCATTTTTTGCAGATGACTGACACTCACTGTCGTTCCTCTGTGCGGACGTCCTCCATTTCTGATGAGGCTTCTTTGCTAAGCTGTGTGTTGTGTGAAGACAAAACGCTGGCTCATCCCTTGAGTTAGGTGCTTTTTTCATGTCTGAATGATTCATCAGTCAGTGTTAAGTGGCTTAACAAACAAATAAACATTACTCTGAAAATGGTAAGATGCAGGAACTGGACTAAAAATTAGTGAAAAAGCAGCCAATGTCCACAGACAAACTTTGAAAGACCTTCAGAAAGCCTGAAGACCTACTGCTCAAGACCACTTTAAAGATTACAACAAAGTCTGGCTCAGAAGAGGAGGGCAACTCTAAAGCAATAATAAATCTAAAGATGCTCATTACTACTCTTATATAGCAAAAACCAAAGAAGTGTATGGACTCTATTTTTGTCCAGTTTACTGATATATTACATCACTGACCAGCAGACATGGAGAGTTGGAGTGATACGCAAAGCACTATTTGTTTAATTTCACTTCAGAGAGTCAGAGAATGCTATGCAGATCTTAATTTGAGCTATATGACGAAACCGCAGCAGAGCACAAGTAAAAAAGAAACTCCAGCATACACAAATACATATATACACTTACACACACACACACACACACGCTAACTGCCTCAGGTTGCGATGAAACACAGATAATTAACTCTAATGGAAACCAGACTTAGAAATCGAGTCGCCCCCCCCTCCGTCTGTCTCACCCAACTTCCTCCCCTCCACCTTGTCTTTTTGTGGTGTTGAGGGTTAATGTAAACCAGGGCTTGTTACCCCATAATGGGGAACTTCACAGAGAGATGGGAAGTGAAGGAGACACAACACTAAAAGAAGTAAAGGAGACAAGTAAACCACTGTTAAACTACCTGGTCTTGCTTTCCATGTATAGCAGTGAGAAATCCATGTTTGGAAAGATTTACAGCTCCTGGCGTTACTAAAATACACACAGGCCTGCACCTTTGGCTTCTAGATCAGTTTAAGGACTGCAAGCTTAAAGCGAGGAGATATAAACGGTGATTAATGAGAGAAAGAGAGCGCGCGAGTGCGTGTGTGTGTCAGTATTCAAAGAGCCTATAAATCATAGCACACTTAAAACTAGAGAGCCAGATGCCTTCACACTGATAACAAGCGGTCATCCCATTACTTTCAAACATCAAAGTCGAGCAGGAGCTGAGGTTCAGGAGCCCCCCCCCGATTCGTTTCTCCCTCTCTCTCCTTCTCTGTGTGAAATGTATTTCCCTGTTTAGTAGGCGTGAGAAATCTCCCTGTGTGTGTGTATAACCTATATGTGTTTGTGTGCGCGTGTGTGTTTTGAAGCCTCAGAGGTGACATTCCTCTGTGTCAGAGCAACAGCCTCAAGTTTAAGATAACACGTCCACGGTGATCTAAGGGTGGGAATCGATTCCCCCCGGTGGCTGGCGAGGGCTTTGGGTCAGCGCAGATGGCTTTACCTTCCGCACGCAACCCGTGATACAAAAACACGGCGATGCTCCCATCATCATCTCTTAACAACCCTACAGACAGATAGAGAACTCCCTTAAGTGAGTCATGAATGACATCGGTGTGTTTCATCTCAAAGTGATATTCCTGTTGCACTCATAAAATAGCCTAATCCTACTTTGTTTTATGGGAAATAGTAGCCTTGAAGAATTCAGTCAGGACTTATATGTGGTAGATACAGCATCAGCCAATGAGATACTTCCCATGTAGTCTTCTTGTCTTAATATATTCTAGTCCTTCCCTTCTTGACTTTAATGGTGTGTAATAGCCCAGATGCTGATTTGGTATTTGGACATATCACATTCAGCATTTAAGTGGAAAGATTATTTCTGTCCAAACCTGTGGTAAACCATCCAAAAAATATAATAAAAATAATTTAAAAAAAACAACACGATTATTCATTTTCACATAATTTGCAATTTGTTTGTTTGTTTGTTTGTTTTTTGGCTTTTATTATTTAACAGCTACATGGAGTTTTATTAGTTAATCCCGTTTACAGTTTGGGTCAATTTTATCAGCTGTTTTGTTGTTAAGTAGAAATACTCTGATAATCCAATGTGTTTTATGTGGACTATAACTTGTTGCTATTTGTAAATTACATCCAGCCTATTCTGTTTGCATTTCACCTCTCTCCACCCCATAAATCTGTCAAGCCTCTCTGGGTATAACTGCTGCAGCACCTGCAGGAGACTCCCATGCTGACCTGCAGCTCAGTGGACATCTGGGAATATCATGCATGCCTCCCACAGCTCCAGATTCACCTTGTTCAAACAGACCATTGGCTAATTATGGCTTTCCCAGATCCCCAAGCTCAAGAAATCACTACGAAATAAGCCACTGGAATGAGATGTTTTCTTTTGCCCCGCTCCACTGTAGTTTGGTTACATGGGGATTCAACATCAAGCAAGAAAATAAGCTCTCTACAAAGACTCAAAGTACAAAGACCATGAAAAATGAATATGTTTCCCCTAACAAAAAATAAATAAATAAAACACATTTCTTTAAAAAAGTGGCATTTATTCTTCTGTGTAAAAACAGAGGCTTCTAAATTCAGCTGATGGGCATGAAATTTCTTTGACGCAGCCTCTAGTTAGACCTTTAAGGAATATCCAGACCAGAAGAATGTATGATACTTTCATAATTTTATTTAAGATATTACCAAATATTTACAACACTCAAAATGCAAAGACTCTAGATCCAATTGGAATTCTGTGATACTGCAAAAATAAATAACCTTTATTTGAAATAGGGGGAGAAAGAAGTTTCAGACCTGTGTAGAAAAATAAATACAAAATACTTCATTTTCTGTGATGCGGTGTCACAGGTTAATGTGGAATGGTCTGTCATCTTTCTCTCGTGTTTCAAAACGGAGCCGTTTGTCAGTTTTTTTTTCCTTTACAACATTCATAGTCGCAGTGGTCTTTCTTTCTTCATATCCGTCCTGTCTGTCCTAAGTGCTCCCTTGCAAACATTTCAGTCCGTGCAAAGGGAAATATGAAAAAAGCTGCTATCCTCTGAGGCCTGAAGCACAGCAGCCGAGACTGGGGCCCAGGTGTGTTTGGTCTATTTTAGTCTGTCTGATCCACTGGTTCCTCAGTCTGAGTAATCTGTGAAAGAAATACTCTGGTTAAAACAAGTGAAAACAAGAAATGAATGACATATATGTTGGTGCCTGTTGGCCATTTATGTAAATGACAAAACCTGGTTGTGGGCTTAGGTGAAGAAAATAAACATGAAGCTTGGATTTCGTGGAAGAAATGCTATGTCTATTTCTTTGTAGCTATAAGATGATATGAGAATGCCATGTTTACAGCGATAACTCTGGTCTGTTGACGCATAAAGTTGTAGTTGACATCTCTTTCATAATGAAATTAATCAACCCTAATCAATATTAGAGGAAGTTTAAAAGAGTGAGACAGAAAAACTACAGCGACCTACTGGATACATATAATAATAATAATAATAATACATGACTGTATTAGTTTGTTTATCTTGGGCCTGTGCGTAAAATGCGCATAACCGGAACATTTTGGCACGGCTCGAGTTCCTGCTGGAAAAAAAGTGAAAGGAGCTCAACCTACCGTACTGTGCCACCAGGAGCAGCCCTGCTAGTGGGACGTAGTCGACAAGGACCACGCGCCCCCCATCCTCCAGACTGAGAACGCATAGCTCAGGCGCTCGTGCGCCACGTAGTTGCAGCTGGTCCCTCGCGCGTCCAGCTCGTCGCTTTGTAGAACTTGGCAAAGGAAGTCGATGTACCGCGCTGCCAGCTTCAGGGTTTGGATCTTGCTGAGTTTGTCCGACGGCAGAGTGGGAATGATCTTACGTAACGACGTGAATGCCTCGTTGAGGGACTGCGTCCTTTGGCGCTCGCGGATGTTGGCCATCACGCGCTGCGTCTGCAGGTCGTCGAATGAGCGCGCGGGGCTACTGCTGGCCTCGCTTCCGCCGCTCCCGGTGCTGCCTCCTCCTCCGTCTCCGCTTTTCCTGCATTTCTTCTTCACCGGACCGGGGCTCTCCACGTCCGCTTCCTCCTCTTCGTCCGTGCTCCTCCGCGCCGTCCGCCTCTTCCTCGCGCCTCTCCGCGGCAGCTGTCGGTCGGTCTCCTCCTCACTGTTGCCAGCGCTATCCATTGGGGAGGAGTCGTCTTCCCGCATTGTCTTTTCAGAAAGGTTTTCTGTGTCCTGTCAGAGAGTCACGAATCCCTGACTCAAATCCACTGAAGCGGTCACAACATCAACAAACAGGAGAGGTAACAGGAGCGTGGCCCGCGCTTGTGTGTGAGCTGGTATTACGGTAAATCTCGTGCGCCACAGAATGGGAGAGGTGTCTGCCAGACTGGGACGACCCTAGCTCTTATAACGGGGAGCAGGCAGGAGGATTTTGGGGCTTGCTGTGATTGGGTGGGGAGGGCTGTAACATAATACCGCAGAAAAAGAGAGTTCTTG